GGGGATGACAAACGCAATGGAAGCACAGACTTTTCTATGACTCGAAGTGCACGGCATCTAACAATCATGCACCTCGTCAGCCCCAGTTCCCAGCACTCGAAGTCCTTGTCGCCAGCGCTGCGCCGGGCGTACTCCAGCAAGAAGCGCTTCCCGGTTCTGGGGGGCAGCGACTCCTTCGGGGCGCAGGAGCGCAGCGCAGACCAAGTTCGACAATTCCATCGAGGCGCTGCCTTTTTCCGAGGCGCTCGCCAGACATCAGCCCGTTTAATTGCGGCTTCTGGGGTTGCGTCAACCGCCGCCTCCGCAAGCAGCAGGAGGCCCTCGTGCTCGCCTGGTAAGAGGAAAGCCAGGGCCCATTTCGCGGCGCGCCTCAGGCGGGCTCTCCAGCGCGTGCCCGAGGCCATCTTGACTCCTCTGGTGAAGTCCATGGGCCGGCGCTGCAAGGCCCTCCAGCGCGTAAAGGGGAAGGACTTCGAGGAGCGATGCCCTGCGCGCCCCGCGCGGCTGCCGACGCCGCGAACACGCGGCCTTCCGCTGGCGGCCCGCCGCCGAGGACACGGGGAACATGCGAAGTTCATGCCCAGTCGCCGCGGTGGGGCGCCGGGACTTCGGGCCAGCCGCCCACCAGCCGTATGAGTGTAATTTCTTGAGTTGTATTTTTCCCGACTGGCAGCCGATCTTGACGCGCGCTCGCAATGGCCTTCCCGGAGTAAACATCCTGTCGCAGGGCCCTTTTGCCCATCTAAGCGCTGGCGTGCTCAGCCGAGGCCTGTCGGCTCATCCGCGGTGGGCGCCCGACGGGCATGAGTTGGTGCGGAGTGACGTTGACCTCCTGTCAGCTATTTCCAGGCCGGCGCCAGGGCCGCGCTCGGGCTGCGCCTGGAGCGCGAGCGGCCGCCCCTGGGCCGCGCGGCGGACTTGCGCGGGCTCGGCGCGGCAGGCTCTGCCTGGGCGATGCTGGCGCGTGGCCTGCTCAGAGCAGCGGGCGGCGACAGGGCGGCCCCGCGCCCGCCGCGCTTGCATTTTCCTCATTTGAAAACTCCAGTGCTATTTGAATACCTATTTGAATACCTATTTGAATACCTATATGAAAACTGCAGCTATATGGGGATTTGCATTTGCTACGCGCGAATAGTGGAGTTAAAAAGAATGTAGTTTCTTTCTTTCTTTCTATTTCAAGTTTCAAATCGGTTCCCCCATATAATTGAGGTTTTCAAATAGGTGTTCAAATAGGTATTCAAAGAGGTATTCTTCCAATGTACTGGGAGTATTCAAATAGGCCAGATGCAGGCGCCGCGCGCGCCCCGCCACCCCGTCGTCGCCTGGCGCGCCCTGCCCCGCTGCGCGGCCGCGTGCCAGCACCGGGCGACGTTCGGCACAGAGCTTGGGCAGTGCCCAGCGCAGCCAAGGGTGCGCCTGGCGATGCGATCACAGCGAGGGCCGCGCATGTCCTCGTCGCGGCCCACGATCGGCCTGGCGCGGGCCAGGCGCGACGCGGGCTCGGCGCTGCTCGCCGGGCGAAGGCGAAGCCCAATATATTGTTCTGTTTTGCTTGCGCAGCGGAGGCAGCCCAGCGCAGCCCAGCTCAGGTCTGCGCGGCCCAATCCACCCGAGCTCAATATATTGCAGTCCCGTCCAGGTCAGCCCTGCGCAGGTGCGCCCAGGTCAGCCCAACTCGAACCAGCTGGGTCCAGCTCAGACATCAGCGAGGCGTGAACCCTTCGGTCCAGTGGCGGCTCGGCCCGGCTCCGGCTCGCACCCTGTTCGAAGCTCGGCAGTCGACCTTCGACCGAACGTCGACCCTGTACCCTTGATCATCCTCGCCATCATCCTTCCCCCAGTTCTCCGAGTCCCCCGCCCTCCGCGTCAGCCTTCACCCTGCAGGGGGATGACAAACGCAATGGAAGCACAGACTTTTCTATGACTCGAAGTGCACGGCATCTAACAATCATGCACCTCGTCAGCCCCAGTTCCCAGCACTCGAAGTCCTTGTCGCCAGCGCTGCGCCGGGCGTACTCCAGCAAGAAGCGCTTCCCGGTTTTGGGGGGCAGCGACTCCTTCGGGGCGCAGGAGCGCAGCGCAGACCAAGTTCGACAATTCCATCGAGGCGCTGCCTTTTTCCGAGGCGCTCGCCAGACATCAGCCCGTTTAATTGCGGCTTCTGGGGTTGCGTCAACCGCCGCCTCCGCAAGCAGCAGGAGGCCCTCGTGCTCGCCTGGTAAGAGGAAAGCCAGGGCCCATTTCGCGGCGCGCCTCAGGCGGGCTCTCCAGCGCGTGCCCGAGGCCATCTTGACTCCTCTGGTGAAGTCCATGGGCCGGCGCTGCAAGGCCCTCCAGCGCGTAAAGGGGAAGGACTTCGAGGAGCGATGCCCTGCGCGCCCCGCGCGGCTGCCGACGCCGCGAACACGCGGCCTTCCGCTGGCGGCCCGCCGCCGAGGACACGGGGAACATGCGAAGTTCATGCCCAGTCGCCGCGGTGGGGCGCCGGGACTTCGGGCCAGCCGCCCACCAGCCGTATGAGTGTAATTTCTTGAGTTGTATTTTTCCCGACTGGCAGCCGATCTTGACGCGCGCTCGCAATGGCCTTCCCGGAGTAAACATCCTGTCGCAGGGCCCTTTTGCCCATCTAAGCGCTGGCGTGCTCAGCCGAGGCCTGTCGGCTCATCCGCGGTGGGCGCCCGACGGGCATGAGTTGGTGCGGAGTGACGTTGACCTCCTGTCAGCTATTTCCAGGCCGGCGCCAGGGCCGCGCTCGGGCTGCGCCTGGAGCGCGAGCGGCCGCCCCTGGGCCGCGCGGCGGACTTGCGCGGGCTCGGCGCGGCAGGCTCTGCCTGGGCGATGCTGGCGCGTGGCCTGCTCAGAGCAGCGGGCGGCGACAGGGCGGCCCCGCGCCCGCCGCGCTTGCATTTGCATCATTTGAAAACTCCAGTGCTATTTGAATACATATTTGAATACCTATTTGAATACCTATATGAAAACTGCAGTTATATGGGGATTTGCATTTGCTACGCGCGAATAGTAGAATTCAAAAGAAGGTATTTTCTTTCTTTCTATTTTCAAGTTTCAAATCGGTTCCCCCCATATAACTGAAGTTTTCAAATAGGTATTCAAATAGGTATTCAAATAGGTATTCAAATAGTATTCCAATGTACTGGGAGTATTCAAATAGGCCAGATACAGGCGCCGCGCGCGCCCCGCCACCCCGTCGTCGCCCGGCGCGCCCTGCCCCGCTGCGCGGCCGCGTGCCAGCACCGGGCGACGTTCGGCACAGAGCTTGGGCAGTGCCCAGCGCAGCCAAGGGTGCGCCTGGCGATGCGATCACAGCGAGGGCCGCGCATGTCCTCGTCGCGGCCCACGATCGGCCTGGCGCGGGCCAGGCGCGACGCGGGCTCGGCGCTGCTCGCCGGGCGAAGGCGAAGCCCAATATATTGTTCTGTTTTGCTTGCGCAGCGGAGGCAGCCCAGCGCAGCCCAGCTCAGGTCTGCGCGGCCCAATCCACCCGAGCTCAATATATTGCAGTCCCGTCCAGGTCAGCCCTGCGCAGGTGCGCCCAGGTCAGCCCAACTCGAACCAGCTGGGTCCAGCTCAGACATCAGCGAGGCGTGAACCCTTCGGTCCAGTGGCGGCTCGGCCCGGCTCCGGCTCGCACCCTGTTCGAAGCTCGGCAGTCGACCTTCGACCGAACGTCGACCCTGTACCCTTGATCATCCTCGCCATCATCCTTCCCCCAGTTCTCCGAGTCCCCCGCCCTCCGCGTCAGCCTTCACCCTGCAGGGGGATGACAAACGCAGTGGGCGGACAAAATATCGCAAGTTATATGATCGTTCCGAGAAACAAGATGACAATTTTGATCATATTCCATCGATATCCGAGGAGCTCCCCTTCCCCCGTATTTCAATGTTGACTTGCATTATTCTGTCCTCCCGGACTTGGGGTTCTCGCCCGATGCCAACATTGAAATTTAGGGGGCGGGGGCGTTTTGTCGAGGTGGCGTCGCAATGTCGGCGCGGCCGTGCGCGGCCAGGAGCAACTTGCAACATTTCGTCGTCCCACCGTCGGTCGGTGCGGTTCGATGTGCTGCTGCGTCGCTGCCGCGTGGTTGTGTCCTTCTCGGCCGCTTCCAGCAATTCGATTCGCTTGCGGTTCGTCTCATATCCGCTGTCGGTTCGGAAGGTTTTCGGTCTTGCTGAGGCCGTGGACGGGCTTGGTCACCTGCAGGGGTGCGAAGATGGCCGCGCATCGTGGCGACCGTCTCACACTTCGCAGCCCCCCTGGGATGCCGAGGTACCGATTGGGTCTGCGTGGGACCCCACTGCGCTGGCCCCGCCACGCGGCCCTCGAAAGTGGCGACGGCTTCACACTTCGCAGCTTCCCATGGATGGCGAGGTTCCGTTTGGGTGCGCGTGGGGTCCCGCTGTGCTGGCCCTTCCGGCAGCCCTCGAAAGTGGCGACAGTTTCAAATATCACAGCCTCCCAGGGATGGCGAGGTACCGTTTGGGTCTGCGTGGGACCCCGCTTTGTTGGCCCCCCCCAGCAGGCAGGCGAGAGGGGGACAGAGCTGGCTCCCCCAGCAGGGGGGGGAGGAGGGTGCTGGCGACCCCACTGCTTTATTCGAAACGAGAAACCAACCAAGGGAGGGTTGGGAACAAAAAGAAGGAAGGAATTGGGAGCTAACAACATCACCGCCATCACATTCACTCATCACCATCATCGCCACCATCGTCACCGTCGTGCTCACCATCACCGTCACCACAATCATAATCATAATAATAATCATAATCACCACCATCATCATCATCATCATCATCATCATCATCATCATCATCAGCATCATCATCATCATCATCATCATCGCAGTCGTCGCCGTCAACATCATTTGCAGCATGAGGAAGTGGATGGGGGACATAATTTTCTAGGCACCTGCTTGCCTGCAGGCTCAAACATCGCACGAGTAAGGTTCAACATGTAACAGTTGGCTCGTCATCTACCGCATGCGCTGTTCTGAAGCATTTTGCAATCCTTGTATGCGACCTTACACGTGCGAGTCGAGGGTGGTAGTCGTCGAAGTCCTCGTGTCTTGCAGTTGCCTGTGTATGCCGACTTGAATTCCGATTTCTTGGGTTGCGGCGGCCGAGTGTGCAGTCGATTGCGGGCCCGTTCGCTGAGCCTTTCGGATGCCCCCTCCCCCGCGTGGCCCCCAGCGGGCCTTCCCTACAGTGGGGGCCCATGCCAAGAAACACCCTGCTTGCCTCCAGGGTGCCCTTGGTTTCTTGGGTTTCGAGGGTCTTGCGATGGGAAGCGCGACGTTCCCACACCAAACATCCATGGACGTCCTGGGGTGTCAGGGTTGGGTTTCCTGTGGGAGGTTTCTTGTGGTCGGGCCCCTACTGTAGGACTGTTCAGCACGGCAGACCACAGGAGCACGGCAGACCGGCACGGCAGACCAGATCAACAACGCGGCAGACCATGTGAGCAGGGCAAACCACAGCAGCATGGCAGAGACCGACCTAGTCACAGACCTCGGGGACGCTCTGGGCCTGGGCCCCTGTGGTCCCAAGGACCTCATGGTCGAGGCGGAGAGAGGCGTTCGACGAGCGTCAGACAGGCGGGAGCTGGCTCGCCTTGCCAAGGGCGGCGACATCTCCACCCGCTTTTCTGGGAAACCATTGAGGAGTTGATCGGGCCCCGCGGTTCCCTGGGCTCCAGGGAGAAGGCGGTTTTCATGCCCGTCTTCACGAACGCTCACTGGCCGCGGCAGCGCCTCCTGGCGGCCAAGGAGCGCCACCACGGGAGCTGCGTCCTCTGCGGCGCGGGCAATGGCACGCTCTTCAACGGCTTGTTCGAGTGCCCTGCGACGCGGCGCTGGAGGCCGCCAGGGAAGACTGCTGCTCTGGGCGTTTGAGGCGGTGTGCGCAGCGCGTGCGGCAGCCAGGGGAGGCGGCAGCGGAGGACTTTGCTCGCTGCTGGCTGCCAGCACCCATGCTTCGCCTCCCTGGCCTGGGCAGTGACATGGTGGTCCGCTGGTACCGCAAGCCAGTTGATGGTTTCCTTCGCAGGCGGCTGTTCTTGGACGGGTCGGCGGTGGAGCTGGCGCGTGCAGCGACCCGACGCGCAGGCTGGGCCATCTGCCAGGTCAGTGAGCATGTCATCCTGGAGGCCGCCTGCTTCGGCACTGTGCGGGCCGATCTTTGCCGGCAACAGACGGCCAAGAACGCCGAGGATTTCGCGTGCTGGGTGCTGACCTTGGTTGCGGGGTCAGGACGCCACGTCCTGCACGTGGACTGCGCCTCCGCGGTCTCCTGCCCGAGGCGCGGGCGCCAGTGCGCCACTGGCATTGGCCGACCTGGCGCGCACCTCTGTTGCAGGTTCTTCGCAGTCTTCGGGCCTGAGGACTACGACGTCCGCAAGGTGCCAGCCCACCTGACATGGGCACAGATGCAGGAGGGCCGCGCCTCGGAGCTGGAGTGGCGTGGCAACAGGTCCGCGGACATCCACGCCAAGCTCGGCTCGTTGCTCCATGCAGTGCCGCAGGAGGTGCCGGTGCATTTCAAGGCCTTCGCGCTGGTCGTCGCGGAGCTGGCGCGTTGGATCGCGCAGGTGTCCATCTCGATGCAGCAGGGCAGACTCCGCGACGCGCAGGGCCTGCCCGGGGGGCAGGAGAGGAGGCGGCCCGTCGCGACCTTCGAGGGCGACCCCAGCGGCCCCCCGCCGAGGCGGCAGCCGCAGGGGCTGCGCCCAAGCGGGAACATTCCACGGCATGGGCGGCGACGGCCCTCGGCCTCGGAGCAGGGCCCCTTCATCGTGCTGGGACACTGCTTACGCTATGCGATGTCAGACGGCGCGGACGAGGGCACCACGGAGCCTACGCGGACATCGACGGAGGCAGAGGGCCCAAGCTGGACGCCGAGTGCAGCGGGCGCCCCCCTAAGGGGCCCTGGGCGAGGGCGGGCGCGACCAGCTCAGCCTCTGGGAGCGCGGGCATCACCGTGGAGGGCGCAGAGGGAAGAGAAAGGCCATCAGGCACCTGCGCCAGCTGGACAACACCAGCGAGCTGCGGATCGACATCCTGGCCTGGTTCGGCGCGCTGCCCGCGAAGGCGGCGCCTGGCGCGCTTGGCGGCGAGGGGGAGTTGCCTGAATGCTCCCCGCAGGCCGCCCTGAGTGAGGCTGGCCGTGAGAGAGGCGGGGGGGGGGGCGGCCGCCTCCTGCGCGTCGAGCTCGTCGCCAGCGGGCGCCCTGCAAGCAGGTGCCGACCACGCGCGAGGCAGCCCGCGCGGAGCCGCTCAAGGGCGACTTGCAGGCGCGGCTGCGGCGCCCAATAGTTCGGGGGCGGCGGCGATCCGCCGCCTTGAGGCCACGCAGGCGCACGGCCGCGACGAGGCTGGCCAGGTCGATTGGGCGGGGGCGGTTGAGGCGATGGCAGAGGAGCGCAAACGAAGGCGCCTCGTGGGCCCTCCTGAGTCCTCTTGGGGGGGGAAGCGTGCGACGGCGGTTGGCCGTC